TGTGCGAACATGTTCAACGTCCGTTTAAGGAGACTGACATGTGAATATAAAACACTGCACACCTTACTTCAGCTAGCTCATGCATCTTTTGCAAGAGGCTACACCTTCACCAAACATTATTCCAGACTTTGCCATGTAAAGTTCTAGACAACCTACACCCTAAACCCCAAAGCTAAACTCTAAGCCTAAGCCGCAACCCCCGCCCCCTCCCCCCCGAACCAAACAACCGATCTCAAACCTTGAACCCTGAAACTGTCAACTTCAAATTTGGGTCCACGAGACGCTAGGAACAACTAAAAGACTTTAGGGCTTAGGGTTTAGGGTTTAGGGTTTAAGGAACAACCAAAAGTCATAAATAGAACTGTACTAAGGGCTAGTTGCACGACCAAGAAAGAGAAGAACGCATGAGAGTCATTTTTAATGTGACAGTAGAGATGCCAATAGTACATGCAAACAGCTAAATAGTAGTTATCAAAAACAACCATTGCAACAACCGCCACGACGATGGTGACATCGACTTCCAACCACATGCGGACATTCGTCACAATCACGGTATTGGCTTGATCATGGAATCATGCATGCTGGCAACAACAGAACAAACTCGAAAAGCTAAACCCTCCACCTCAAAGCCTCAAATATAAACGATGATAGACTCCTTTGCAATGACATCACATTGCCACGTAGTTGAGCCTCGTTATATATATATATATATTTATATATTTATTTACACATATATATATATATACATACATACATACATACATACATACATACATACATACATATACATATATTCTGACAGCCTACAATTCCGAACCCCCTGACTCCCCCTCAACCGCCACAACAAGCCTCCATCCCCAGTGCAACAAGGCCTGAGGACAGCGGCACTCGTCAACAAGGGCCCCGAACCCTAAACCCTAAACCTAACGAGCTACAAAACAAAGGGCCACCCGAGACGCTTAGAAGCCTAAACCCCCCACCCAAGGGCCTTAATAGTTACAACAAGGGTGTCTTAAAAGGGCTCCTTTAAGGGGTCCAGAAGGGTTTAATAATCTGGGTTTTGGCGGCCCTGCAAAGGGGATCTTCATAACCAGAACAAGGGTCGAGGAGGGGGGGGGTGTGGTATGATACTACTGCTATATAGGGGCTGCAAGAGCCTGTTAACACTGATGAATGACATTGTTGAAGAATTTTGTGATGCAGAAGGCCTAAGTTGACCCTAAGCCCTTAGACCTAAACCCTGAACCCTAAACCGTCAACCCTGAACCCTAAACCCTAAACCCCAAACCCTAAACCCCACACCCCTTGCCCGTACAACCCTCAACCCCAAAGAGGCCGGGAGGCGGGGACCAGTGAACTCTCTTGGCCCGACACATTGTCGTTGTTTTGGAGCAGGGTCGGACTGGGCAAAGGGGATGCTAGGTTTCGAGGGATCTGGGATTTTTTTGGGGTGGCTCAACGGATCAAGCGTCGTGGATTTGGAGGTTAGGGATATGCTCACGGGACCTTCTGCACTTTATGCTGCTACTGCTGACCTGGTTGCTTTGTTGCCTGCTCTGCTTGCTTCTTCTGACTCGCGGTGTTGTTGGAGCGCTTTCTTCTCGGTGGCCGGTGAGGATGAGACTTTAGTGATCGGGCTTGTTGCCCAAAGGTCTGGAGCGGGCTGTTGGAGGCTAGAATGGCTAGAAATCTAGTTCTTGTGTGGGCCGAGCAGGTCCTGCCATCTCAAAACCGGGAGCTTGCTAGATAAAGTTACTGAGACATGAGCAGCAGTATTATCTCTACTGTTAGCACTACCATAAACTATGACTCTTGTTACTATTGAATACATACTCAATAACACTAACATGAGTATTTATATTCATACATACTAACGTTGTTAATACTGTTAATTAATCTTGGAAATGTTTTTGAATATTGCAATATTGCGTTGATTGTTCTGATTATTTGCATTATCGAAAGCATCCGAACCTAATATTACTGTTTTTAGTGTGAATATTGGTAATGCGAATATTAGCAAGGAAAAAAGAAAAACACAATGTTAGAATTAATGTTCAGTATGATCAACATCGTTATCGTCCATATTGTTGAGAAAAACTTTGCATATCAGTGGTGCTACCAGTATTGCTATTATTACTGATATTGTCTTGTTATTATTCATCTTGCTGCTCTTCTTCTTATCCATTATCCCAATTGTTGTTATTATCATTGTCAGTATTTATTTGGTATTTGGTAGTTTGTCTGCTTCTTCTTTTTGCCATCTTCGGCATATGTCGTCATTGCTACCATCATGAACAGCCAAAACAGCCTCTTCGTGGGAAATCTTCGTCAAGACCATCACCGTCATCCTGGTCATCGTCGTCATCATACCACGGATATCACATGTTGCTTCGAACCTTCACAGGAATTTGCAACAATAAATGCGGCACAGAACCTCAATGGCAAGGCAGTCTTTACAAAAGCAGTTTGGCAGCATGCCTACTTAAAAGACCATGCGTTTCAGGTCTCTGCAAAAACTTGCAAGGCTGTTCAGCAGCACTCACTCCTCGTGTTTTCGCTCTTATGCATTCAAGAGAACGCACATACACACAGACATACAAACACACACACACACAGACTAACATGCAAACACGCCAAGTCAAACAACAGGCTGAATCTGGCACAGAACTGAACCACGTGCACTCAATGTCACACGTGGCACTGGGATTGCCAGCCTTCACCGGTCTCTGCAGTGTCAGTTTGGCAGCATGCCTATGTGAAAGAGCATGCGCTTCAGGTCACTGCAGAGGCTTACAGACAGTTCGCGAAGCTTCACTGCGACCTGCGTCTTGCAGGACACGTTTGTGACTATCAACACATGGAATGGCCGCATTGTGTGCAACCACAATGACATTGAGATGTAGTTTCCCAAGTGATGCCCTGAATCAACATGTTGTCCAAGAACTTAGAGTGGATATGTGGATTCACATTCCTTTCAAGCCAATGTTGCCAGTGCCCGAAAACCCCGCATACAGTCGCACGACCTCATCTGAATCCGGCACAGAACTGAACTACGTGCACTCAAGGACACACGTGGCACTGGGATTGCCGGACTTTGCCAGTCTTTGCAGAGTCAGTTTGGCAGCATGCCTATGTAAAGACCATGCGCTTCAGGTCTCGGCAAAAACTTGCCAGGCTGTTCAGCAGCACTCATTCGTCGTGACTTCGCTCTTTTGCATTCAGGAAGACGCGCACGCACACGCACACACACACATATATATATATGTATATATATATATAATGCAAACACGCCAAGTCAAACAACAGGCTGAATCTGGCACAGAACTGAACCACGCGCACTCAATGTCACACGTGGCACTGGGATTGCCAGCCTTCACCAGTCTCTGCAGTGTCAGTTTGGCAGCATGCCTATGTGAAAGAGCATGCGCTTCAGGTCACTGCAGAGGCTTACAGAAAGTTCGCGAAGCTTCACTGCGACCTGCGTCTAGCGGGGCACACGGAACTGCCGTCTTGCACGCAACCACGATGACATAAAGATGTGGCTTTCCATGAGCCCCGTGAGCATAGTGGGAATATGCGCATGCACATGGGTTTCAAGCCAATGTTGTCAGTGCCCGAAAATCCCGCATACAGTCGCACGACCTCATCTGAATCCGGCACAGAACTGAACCACGTGCACTCAACGTCACACGTGGCACTGGGATTGCCGGACTTTGCCAGTCTTTGCAGAGTCAGTTTGGCAGCATGCCTATGTCAAAGAGCATGCGCTTCAGGGCACTGCAAAGGCTTACAGAAAGTTCGCGGAGCTTCACTGCGACCTGCGTCTTGCAGGACACGCTTGTGACTAGCGACATATGGAATTGCCGTCTTGCGTGCAACCACAATGACATTGAGATGTAGTTTCCCAAGAGATGCCTCGAATCGACATGTTGTCCAAGAACTGAGAGGTGATATGTGAATCCACATTCCTTTCACGCCAATGTTGCCAGTGCCCGAAAACCCCGCATACAGTCGCACGACCTCATCTGAATCCGGCACAGAACTGAACCACGTGCACTCAAGGACACACGTGGCACTGGGATTGCCGGACTTTGCCAGTCTTTGCAGAGTCAGTTTGGCAGCATGCCTATGTAAAGACCATGCGCTTCAGGTCTCGGCAAAAACTTGCCAGGCTGTTCAGCAGCACTCATTCGTCGTGACTTCGCTCTTTTGCATTCAGGAAGACGCGCACGCACACGCACAAACACACACACACACACTCACTGACTGACTGACTGACTAACTGACTGACAAACTCACACACACACACACACACTCTCTCTCTCTCTCTCTCTCTCTCTCTCTCTCTCTTTCTTCAAAACCAAAGCGCAAAGCGCTAGAACTGGGTCAAATCGGATCTCAAGGTCTCGGGGCTTGGGAGTCTATCTGAGAAAGATTTGCCTTAGATTGATCTCGCACATAGAAATGCCCCCTACATAGTTTAAAGTGTATTCCTTAATTACGAGCTATATCCGAGATCACAGTACTGTATGCTCTGAGGTGTATTCCTTGACTCAGGTTTGAGGGAAAACCTTCGGGCGAGGACTCCTGATCAAATAACTTAAACCCTAAACCCTGAACTCTTTATTATTGAATCCACGCAGCCAGAATCCTGCGCTCAGGGTCTAGCTGGACCCCGAACAACCTACCCTTTAAGGGTTCCATATTATGGCTTCTTTTTACAAGTCCGTAAAATAGGTAGGCTATTTGGGGGTTGAGGCTATAGGGGTTCATGATACACGGTTGAGGGTTATCCCAAGGTGGGATAGCTGCAAGATAATAGACTCCAGCCATGTCGGGATCCTCGAGGTCTGTGTGCTGCTGGTTGTGGTCCGCCAAGAAAGCTTCGACGTCCGCAAAGTCGTCCGGGCCGTCGCCGCTGTCCGCAGTTTCTGCGGGCTCCAAAACCAGCGTCGACGTAGGCTTCCTGGCCTTTGTACCCGCCTTGTACAGTGAAAAGCATGGTTGAGGTAACTCAACCTCAAATTCGCCCTGAGCTTTGGCCTTGATGATCGTTTTCTGCTCTTCGCTGAGGCCAGCGCAGTTCAAAGCGATCCACCCTTGAGCCGGAGAAGGGAACGTTTGACGTCTGCCTTTCTTGATGAAGACCTCAGCTACCCTCGCAATCCACTGCTGGACCGTCTCGCCTTCCTTAGTTGCCAGACCAAACACTTCACCGAGTGCTTGTCCCCTCTGTTCATGGGCCTCCTTCTCAGGAAGCCTTTCCTGCAGGATCTTAAGGATCTTGTCTGCTCCGTCATCCACTTGGATGCTGCTCAGCTCCAAAGTCTAAGGCCTTCCCATCCAAGAGCGTGTACAGGAAGGGTCCTTCCTTGTTGCTTGGCCGTCAGTTTCTCCATGGTGTACATCTTCGCTTGCACCTATTGGCACCACTTGCGCAGCGGACGGCCAGGGTCGTCGCTTTTTCCACTGAATCGCTTCAGCGCACGGTCGTCTGTCGCCATTCCGGAAGACGAAGCCGCACAGGGTTTGGCTGCCTCGTGGAAAGAGCGCCATGCGGAGATCGCGAAGATGCGACAGGAACGCAAGCTCGACTCTGCCCAGGGAGTGACCAGCTTGGCTCAGTGGGGTCAGACGCTGAGTACGCTGCGGAAGGTTGTCAGTCTCAAGCTCAGCTACGCCGAGCTCATGGAGCTTTCCAAGTCCGACCGCGAGATCTACAGCTACCTCTATGTCTTCGTCCTCTTCTTCACCGGCAACTCCGCTAAGGTGAAGGACGTGCAGAAGTACCTCGTGGCCTCTGGCTACAGGGCCGCGGCTACGTACTACGAAGGCAGCAAGGAATTCGTGTTGACTTGAAGCAGTGAAAGGCTGAGCGAGAAAAGCATCGCTCAAGAGTTGCTGAAGCCGAGTGGCCAAGGCATGTCATCATCGATGAGATGTGTGCATATGAAGGATCTCTCTCTTTGCAGCATCCTCTTAGTTACGAAAGAGAGAGGAGTGTCAATAGTACCGCTCTCTCGCCAGCAACGTCACCCGCAGAGGAACTTTCGGCTTGGGGAAAGGGC